CAGTGGGTTGGGAATATGGTGCCAATGAGTCGGCCATACGGTCTGTGTATAAGGTTTGCGCTGATGTGATGAAAGCATTTAGTGAAGCATCCTCAAGATCTGTGAGTCGTATCGTCAAGGTTCAAAAGGACTAATTTCTGCAATCAATGGAGAAGGGGTTATTTTTGTGGATGGATGATTGCTACAAGAAGAAGCTTCCTGTGATGACAAAAAAGCTGTAGAGCAAGGCAAGACACATTTACAATAGTTTGGTTGAATGTTCCGATGTTCCCGACAAGGATAAGCATATTTTTCAAACAAGCAGGGGCTGGCTGAAGAAAGTTTTAGCAAGATACGCTGTAACAAACAAGGTGGTGTCTAATGAAACTGCAACTGCCGAAGCTGCTTGTCGGTACCCACAGGAGTTTCGTCAGGTGATACAGGAAGGTGGATATTTACCTTGCCAAGTGTTTAATGCTGATCGAGCTTTGTTTTGGAAGCGTATGCCTGACAGGACTTACCTTGCCAAAGAAGAGGCAAGGATGCCAGGCTTCGAAGCTGCAAAGGATCACGTGTCTCTTCTTTTCTGCACCAACGCTGCACGTGATTACAAGTGTAAGCCCCTGCTAATACACCGCTCGGCTCGACCTCGTCCCTTCAAGAACATAAGCATGTTAACCCTACCTGTGCACTGGCGTACTAATAAGAAGGGCTGGATGACCAAACCTATTTTTGAGGAATGGTTTATGACTCACTTCCGCACAGAAATGAGGAACTATTGTGCCGAGAAAAACATCGCCTTCAGTTATTCTTCTGTTAGATAACTGCACCGGCCACCCTACAAACCTCAATAATCTTCAAAGTGAAATAAAAGTTATTTATCTATCTCCACAAACTACATTACTGCCGCAGCCTATGAGTCAAGACGTTATGTCTACATTCAAGCTGCTCTATCTGGACCTTACCTTTGAGGCCATCCATAAGGCAATGGATGAGGACGAGGAGCTCACGGTTCAATAGTACTGGAAGAATAAGTTCAACATTCTACATGGTGTTCGGTTTATTGGCAAGGCCTGGACTGCAGTCGGTGAAACATGTCTCTTGAATGGTTGGCGCAAGCTGTTGCCTGACACAGAACCTGACTTTGTTGCGTTTGAACAGGGTCATTTGACTTGGGTCCTGAATAAAGCAAGAGGGTTTTGAAGACCTAGAATCTGCTGACATCATTAACCTTGTGGAAGCTACTGAACAAGAATTACCTGACAGCGATGTTCTTCAGTTAATAGAGGAGTCACCAAATGATCCTGGATTAGAAGAGGAAGATGAGGAATATGTTGAATTCAGCCCTACAATAAGCATGTCAAACCTTGCAAAAATACTGACCCTCCACCAGCAGTTACAGTAAACCCTTGATGACACGGCATTTGATAACTCGGAATTTCATATAACTCGGCATGGATATGGTCTTGGAATGTATTAGTATAACTTGGGCAAAGCCGTGATGTATAAAATCATCTGGCAAAATCTCGGCATAACTGGCCACCTGCATCACCTACCATGCCTGTGTCACCTACCATGCCTCTGTGTCACCTACCATGCCTCTGTGTCACATACCATGCCTCTGTGTCACCTACCATGCCTCTGTCACCTACCCTACCTGTGTCACCTACCATGTATAGTACAGTATCTGTGTCTCCTACTATGATACTTCATTCCTCACCTACAGTGCTGGCAAGTGTTACTTTTTTACATTTAGTAACTACATACTGTATATACAGTAGTCCCTCGATTAACAAACGGTCCAATTAACGAAATTTCGGTTAACGAATTAGCTCCCATTAGGATTTTCAGATCGATTAACGAACAAAACTTAAATTAAAGAAAGCCTTACGAGAAACACGTTTTGTTGTGCGCATCAGCTGATCGGCTGATCGGCCAGTCCACCAATACAGTAATCAGTTCTATGTTTACATTCATTTCCAGTGGAGTAACCATTAAGAAATCTGGTCTCTTGAATATTTCTGCATTTTTTATAATAAAATTATTGGTCATTCTGAAATTTAGTTAACATAGTGATAATATACAGTGCAGAAATTATTATGAAACACGAAGAGGGCATTAGAACCAATGCACTCTGTAAAGAATATGGCATGTCATCATCAACTACAATCAGCTGTTTGAAATGTAAACAAAGCTGCTGGGAATACGGCATACACACCTCAAAGTAAGTTAAAATACAGTATTCTATTGTTTTTTATTTATTATTGTACGGTATACTGTAAAGTACAGTACTATATTTAGTTTATATTTAATGTTTTGTTAATTCTATTACCAGTATACAGTACTTTGTATGTATACTTTTTCTGTGAGTTGGAACCAATTACCCAATATCCCATTGACACACTCCCCACTCTCTTTCCCGCTCAATAGTGAATGAATCGGTTTCACATTTCGGAGGTTCACACCTGAGGGAGAGAGAGGATTGGCAAAGCTAGGTGGTAATGTCAGGAGTGGAGTCAATTGTACCTAAGGTGTTTAATGTTACCACAGAAGGTACCTAAGGTCTTTAATGTTACAACAGTAGGTACCTAAGGTCTTTAATGTTACAACAGTAGGTACCTAAGGTCTTTAATGTTACAACAGTAGGTACCTAAGGTCTTTAATGTTACAACAGTAGGTACCTAAGGTCTTTAATGTTACAACAGTAGGTACCTAAGGTCTTTAATGTTACAACAGTAGGTACCTAAGGTCTTTAATGTTACAACAGTAGGTACCTAAGGTCTTTAATGTTACAACAGTAGGTACCTAAGGTCTTTAATGTTACAACAGTAGGTACCTAAGGTCTTTAATGTTACAACAGTAGGTACCTAAGGTCTTTAATGTTACAACAGTAGGTACCTAAGGTCTTTAATGTTACAACAGTAGGTACCTAAGGTCTTTAATGTTACAACAGTAGGTACCTAAGGTCTTTAATGTTACAACAGTAGGTACCTAAGGTCTTTAATGTTACAACAGAAGGTACCTAAGGTATTTAAAAGGAATTTCCGGCTTCGATGGATGACAAACGAAAAAAATATAATACAGTATTACCCCGCTTTACGCGGTTTCACTTTCAGCGATTCCTCATTTACGCGGTACCTCGCCAGAACCGGACATTCACTTTCTGCGGTGCATCTACTCATATACGCGGGTGAAGTATAATTTTTTATTTAGCTCATAAAATTCATACAAATTACCCGGCCAGAATATAATTTACATTGCTGGAATTCTTACAATATGATGATCATTTTGAATATAAACATCATGGATTTTGCATTAGACATACAAATTTTAGATCTAATGTAATAATTTGGTTTACACAAAGCAAATAATTTATGTTTTGTGCAAAATATTTGAAGTTTACATTCAAAATATTCCCTGACCAGCAAAGAATCCAGAAATGTCAATTATATTATCCTAACTTTAGTCTGAGGTATTTTTTATTACTAAACGTTAAAATCTAGTGTTTTCACCCAAACATTTCTCAGAGAGGTAGGAGCCAGTGAGCTGGGAAGAGGGGGGAGGGTGAGTTGAGTCCATTATTTGAATGGACATTAACCTGGCGACTGTATTTCTCTTAAATATTAATTGTGTGCATACCATCATAAAATTAAGATGTTATTTTTACTACAACATACTGTAGGTATTGTGTCGGAAAAAGTGGAGTTTGGGGGTCGGACCAGTCTCTATTGGAATTAAACCCATATGTTCTGTTGTTCACTTTCCGCGGAACCCCGTGGGTTCAATTGACCGCGTAAATCGGGGTACTACTGTATATGAAAAATTCCGTATGTGGACAGAATCTTATCGCAAATTTCGTAATATTTATGCAGCTATGTATGCCCCCCCCCCCCGCGTGTTCCTTTGGGTAGCCATATGAATGATTGTGGTAAAATATTTTCTCCCAAAATAGGAAATAAATGGCACAAAAGACTTTAGAAATTGATTTCAGGCAACTCCCTTCCTCTCTGGCAAGTGCGGGGAAGTAAACACACCATTAATCAGTAGGTCTGAGGCCTTGTCAAGGAGGGGTGTGCACTCTGCTGTGCTGATCAACTTACCTCACTTGTACTGTTGTACCAGGCTTCTCTCCTCGAATATCACGATGACACGTGATTCAAAACATAAAAGACAACTAAAGGAAGCACGTGCCAAGAGCACTGCTAAATCCAAGAGGAGTAAAAAAGAAAAAGAAAATATCGCTAAGACTGACGACGGTAACAGCTGTCCCACGAGACACCCCGAGGCAGCCCAGCCCAGCCTTCCACCCCTCCCCTCTACCTCATGTGAAGAATATAACTGGAGTTCAGTTGGAGATGTAAAAAAAAAAAAAAATAATAATAAATATTACAGCTAAAATCAACTCAGAATGAGCACGTACAAAGGGGAGAAAAGTTGAGAAACTTTATCAGCCTATATCTCAAAATGAACTTTTCCAACACTCGGAATAGAATTTCTCTGCCAGTTTTTGACTGATTTCAATGAAACAAAAACTCAGCACAGGAAGAACTTTTCCTCAACATAATTCCATCTTCCAATTTTTTCTATCGTGTAAGATATATTTTTGGCTGAATATTTTATCTCAATATTTTGACAAAAATTTTTACCAAACTTAAAAAAATTATATCCTTAAAACCAAAGACAAAAACAAACATATCGCCTTGTAATATTCAATGACAATAATAGATCTCTTTGCAATATGAATTTCAAAGCAAAGTAGAAAAAAGTAAAGGAGAAATACTTCCTTGAAAATTCAGAAAGGAGTGAGAAAGGGTCTAAAGGGTTGAAAAAATTGAAAGGAAAGAAGGGCGTTATGGAGCTAGAATTGATGTACATATGATCCTTAATTGATGTTAGGAATATAACAACAATCGACCAAAATCAAAAGCACCTACACCTTAAAGCCGGAAACTCCCCTTAATGTTACAACAAAGGCTTAAGGCATTTGATGTTACAACAGGAAGTACCTAAGGTGTTTAATGTTACAACAGGAAGTACCTAAGGGTATAATGTTACAACAGGAAGTACTTAAGGTGTTTAATGTTACAACAGGAAGTACCTAAGGTGTTTAATGTTATAACAGTAGGTACCTAAGGTATTTAATGTTACAACAGTAGGTACCTGAGGTGCTTAATGTTACAACAGTAGGTACCTGAGGTGCTTAATGTTACAACAGTAGGTAGCTAAGGTGTTTAATGTTACAACAGTAGGTACCTGAGGTGCTTAATGTTACAACAGTAGGTACCTCAGGCAAACAACTCTGATAAGATCCTTTTTTGAAATAAAGTATAAAATAACAATCCACAATAAATAAGATGAACATAATCATTGTTGTGGGTGTACAATCATCATCTCAGCCAACACACAAACACTACACAGCTGACTAGCGTTAACAGGATTACCAAGATCAGTGGAAAGTCGTACTTTAAAGTTGCCGACATATATATTAATGTAGTTACTGTCTGCTTTATTTTCATTGTAACATTTATGTCCAAAAATTATATGCAGTACGGGACTAGAGAATGTGAGAAGCATGCGTCTATATCAAAACTTTTGTTTGACCAAACCCAGTTTGTGTGGCAATAAGACTTATCACTTCCTGAGATTGCAATATTTTTATCAAGATAAAAAACTGCATAATGTTAGCTTCTAAGATGACATAGAAAGTTGTGCTCCTATTGATATAAAAAATCACCCAAAGTCAATTTGGCCATCATTACAGCTTATAATGGTCAGAGCATTGTATTAATATCTTGGTAAATCCATATCCCTAACAAAACATTTAAATTGGACAGACAACTGTATTACAGTAGAAGAATCACAATCCACTGTTGATTAACTTCATCAGTGTTGTAAAAAATAAAACCATATTTTATCAAGAATTATGTATGATCTTAAGAGCCGTGTTCATCACCATCCTCACTAATTATGGGTCCTTTATATTCTGTCTGATCGCACCAAAAATCACTCGGGGTGGGTACGTTAACGAGCCAAACAAGGTTACTCTCTCTTTGTGAAACTTCCCATCTACTTTCTATCTCTTGATAATAATGACAGTCTCGCTCCAAACCAAAACGTTCGTCCGTTCCGTATGGCGGTGACAAGATATCGAGAAATGCTGCCGGTCCATCTAGAGAATATATTTCATGTATATTTTGCTCACCGGGACAGAGTCGGCATGCAGGATCACTTGCACACACTTTAAGCAGTTGGTGTTTCGTTGCAGGTAAAATGTCAGAGAGAGTTGGGCTACCCATTAGCCCACTTTGTGGTCCTTCTACGGTTGTGTCTCCAATGAAACTATAACTTTGAACTGACACGGCACCATGAACCACCTGAAAAAAAAAAAGATTTTTCACTTAAAAGCAAATACTGTACAATTTTCATTCCTTACAACTACATTACAGTAGAACCTCAATTAATCGGACTAATTGGGGCAGACCCCAGTCCGAAAAATTGAAAGTCCGAGAGAAGCGAATATATAAGACGGGGGGGGGGGGAGAGAGATAACACTGCTTATCTTAACTGTTTAAAGAAAATCAGTTATGTTATGTTATTACTACACTTCAACAACTAAGGTATTTAAGTATATAACAAGGTTATTAAAAGAATATTACATCAACAAGAATTTTTTTTAAATAACTCTCTGGGTTGAAAATCAGACATAAAGTCTGGTTGTCACCGAGATGATTGTTATTTACTGTAGAGTGTTACATGCAAGTAACCACAGATTTTGCTTTATGAATAAAGAGAAAACTGTATACTGTGCAGTACTATAAAGATAAAAATAACAACAAATAATTGTAGGAGTATATTGTATGTGGAAGACGAATGTTTATCTGGGAGCAGCTAGCAGTGGGAAGGGTGGGTAGCATGGATGGGTGGCTCCCTCCCCCTAACTCCCACAAGATTCCTTTAACACTTCTTTACGCAATTCCACCACAGTTCTCATATAATTTAGGATCATTCGGCGCCAGGTACAGTACAGTACAGTTGTGTATTTATCATCACTTAATAAATACTATTGCAGTGTATTTATCACCACTGAATACATACTATTGTAGTGTATTTAGCATCAATACTGAGTATACAGTATTATGCATCTGCATATAGCCTGGTTTATTCATAAACCATTTGTCTAAGTGTACAAGTAGCCAATTTTAGTCATCATATAACACTCAAAGGTAGTAAATAACATTTTTAAGAAGGTATCTTCAGAGCAAATACTATCCAGTGTATTATAGTGACCCCTGTTGTAAGCTGGTCTGTGGGCTCCAGGAATGGTCGAAGAAATGGCTGCTGAGATTCAATGTCACGAAGTGTAAGAGGATGCACCTGGGGCGTACCAACGGTAAGGAGGCGTATCATATGTCCCAACGTGATGAAGAAACTGCACTAGTTGAGACTGTGTGAGAAGGACCTAGGTGTGTATGTTGACAATGAGCTGAAGTTCTCGGGCCATTGTGAGAAGAAGGTAAATCAGGCAAATAAATTATTGGGTCTTATAAGAAGGTCGTTCAGATATCTAGACGGTCCGTCCCTCGTAATGATCTTCAGGAGTGAAGTGCTTCCCCATCTGGAGTACTGTCACCCCATCTGGTCCCCGAGATATGCTAGGGACTGTCAATTGGTTGAAAATGTTCAAAGGAGGGCCACCAGACTGGTGCCTGCACTTCGGCACCTCAGCTACCCTGAGAGATTGGAGCGCCTGAACTTGCCTAGCTTATACTACAGACGGGCAAGGGGTGACTTAGTTGAGGTGTATAAGCATCTCAGGGGGCACTACTCAGTTGAGTGTCCTTACTTGGAGCTGGCGGACGCTCGCCCCACAAGGGGTCACAGCTCAAGATTGAAGAAGCCGCAAGTCCAGAAAACTGTGAGGGCAAACTTTTTCGGAGTGAGGGTTGTAAACTCTTGGAACAATCTACCAGAGAGTGTTGTGATGGCACCGAGTGTGAGCTCTTTCAGACAAGATTTGACCAACACTGGAGCGGGTTCAGGTACATTCAGGAGCCGGTGCATGCCCAGTATTTGCCAACAATGCATGACAGAGACGTGACCGATCGTCCGGGCGGCTAGTGAGCCGATCTTTTGGTGAAGAAGATAAATGAAAAGGAAAAGTAATCGGAGACGTAACCGATCGCCCAAGCGACTAACGAGCCGATCAGTGGCGAAGAGGATAAAAGTAAAAAGAAAGCTCTCACACGAAAGCATCTTGAGTAAATGACCTTCTGATACAATTTATCCTTTTATTTTCAAATCATATTACAAATTACATACAGTATTGTATGTTTTCTCTATTTTTGAAGTTGTTATATTAATCTTGATGAGCAATAAACCAAAGGAGGCCAATCATATGAGAATACAATACTGAATCAATAAATAAATAAACCTGATCCGCCCCAGCCCGCTTTCAGACTCAAGTGTCTTAGTTCTCAGTAGGCCTATAGCAAATTTGATTAGACCACTGAACAGTATTCATTAAATGTTGTTCATTTCATAAGATTTTTTTATTTATCTTCCCCATTTCTTTATTTTTAGCATTTATGGTGACCAGAGCATCTCAGAGACAGAGAAAAGCGAAATCCGATTTATCGAGGTGTGTGCTCTCGTGTGTGTGTACTTGGCAGTTGCCAAGGTAGACTGTTCTTGTAGCTACATCCCCCTAGCTCTCCCCCTACCAGGCCAAGCTGTGTTATTGTTATTTTTCAACTAGTATTTTTGGGTAAATATATGTAATTTATTCTTCTTTTTTTTTTACACTGTAACATGCACACACAATAGTTCATACAGAATGTGCAAAAAAAAATAAATAAAGAAATGGTTCTCATAATGTCAAAAACACAGAGAATAAACACTTATTATGTCCACGAAATATAGCCCATGATGGTGGGAAAGAGCGCACTCATGTTTCCCGTGACCTTAGTGAAACAATTGCCAAATGGCAATGCAGTATTTTTTATTTACTATATTACCTTTATTCATTCCTCACATTTACAGTGGAATACATTAGACCACGAAGGGATAAAGATGCGACACTAATCTGTGTATACTCGAACTTCAATCCTGTGGTTGGTGATGTGATATAGAGTAAAAACCGTGGATACCAAGAATCCGCGGATGGGAAATCTGCGGTTGGCGAGGATGTACTGTACGAATATATATACATATATACTTGTATATATATATATATATATATATATATATATATATATATATATATATATATATATATATATATATATATATATATATATATATATATATATATATATATATATATATATATATATATATAAAAGAAGGAAAACACATTGAGAGGAAAGGCAACTTAACCACCTTGCTACTGTGGACTCCCTGACAATAATCTGGTGAACCACCTCAGCGACCCCGAGAGTGAAGGGCAATAATCCCAACTCGTTTCCTTTGAGTTCTTATTATTTTTTTTCTTCCTTCCATCTTGAGTGGATGATTGTGGACAATTCATATGGCTACAAGTCACACATGGCAGGTCATCGTTGAATAATGAATGAAACTCCATATTTGTATCTAATATCCTCAGACCACCATTAGTGCTTCATGACTGTCCTCTGAGAAACAGAAGATAAGTATGCATTTATTTTCATTTCTTTCAAGCAAATTAATGAGAGGCTGTTGACACTTACTTTTGTTAACAGATAAATAATATTATTGCTATGATTTCATAACAATTTATTATTATATGAAGAATTGTTGTGATGGTTTATATCCAGGAACTTGGTAACCAGATATATAATGGCGTCTTAATTCTTAGATTGCCATGCCGACCATAATGACATGGGTAAGCATACATGTCTTAGATATTATACAAAATAAAAACAAAAAGCCACAAATGTTTAATGTCATTTATGATATCATGTAAGGCATTATTGATAAACCTTTTTCACAGAACATTATTGACAAGTAAGGGTTTACTATAGTCAGAGGTACCAACCCAATCGATACATCAACTGAGTCTGAAGTCTCAAAATTTTTTTTACTGACTGTAGTTAAGGCTGGGAAACATGAATAATTAAATTTGCTCTTGATTACAGTATCTCACACATAAATGATTAAAGTTGTCCTTGTGTATATGATATATGAATGATAAAATTTCCCCTTGTGCATATCACACATGAATGATAAAACATTAGTTAGAATAACTCAGAAGAAGATACGAGAGATAGAGGGTGAAGGAGATGGGCAAGCCTTAATACTTAGGATGAGGTGAACCACCGTAGTCGAATATATCAGGAATATGAATAAACACAGAGTTTAAGTTCTCTCCACATCTGCCAAAAAGTGTGCCACTTCATTGAAGCAATCCTCCACACTCCTTCTCCCACATGGTAGATGAAAGACCCAGTAACTGTTGCCATATGGAGACAACCTCTCCCATAAACAATGACACTGAGCTGATCACCACCACCACCCACACTGTGATGCATTTGTTACTTTGTTTACACTGTAACTGTATTTAGATAAATTATCTATGTAATAAGGTCAAAATATGCTTGTGTGTTATTTATCATAATGCATAAATAAAGGTATACTATTATTAAAATATATGGTACCTTGTTTATTAATAGGTTGGCGGTGTATGGCTGCTAACATACATTTAAATCATTAATTTTACCTCCCAATATTTTTCTTCCACCAGAGTACAAAAATAGTTTGAATAATTTTACTGTTTTGCTTTACCTGAAATCAAAAGATATAACAAAATATTATTTGATAAAATTTTAACTAATTTTTTTATTGCATAAAATGAGCAATCCACAACTCTTTATTTTTATGTTTTATTTGTAGTTTTCCCTTGCTGTCAGATACTGTTTTTCATAAATATTAATGAAAACTTCAAGATTTAGCCTTGATAAAAATGGTAGTAAAAAAGGACTACTGTACGTGTATTTACCATTTTCATATTTTATTGCAGAACTGAAAATCCGTGGGAATGCATCTTAGAAACAATATACTGTATAGTTCAGTCTCCTTCACCAGTGCATTTACAGGGGCTCTTAAGTTTTTGTGCAGTGTGGCAGCCCTGTGTTTGTTTACATTTGACAGAGGAAACTCTCAGTAGTAAACATACTATGGAATAAAAGTAAAACACTATTAAAACAAATATGTGAATGTAATGATTTGTGGAATGTTTATTATGATGAGGCCCTGTAAACGTACTAGTGAAGGGGACTGTACATGTTCAAAGAGTTAAGGGCGAATTAATGAGGTCGAGAGATGTTATGTTAGGTAAAGCTAAAAAAATTATTGTGGATCATGAAGACTGAAGTCATCTCTTATGTGATGGTGTTAAACCTAAAGACTCAACTATGTACAGTACAGTGACTTGTTAAGAAGCATTGAGAGTCAATGTGGAAGCTAAAGATTTACATTTGTGGGCCATTAAAAAATTCTTACCAGAATACCAAACACATATTATTTTGTTTTATGATTCTGTATATCTATTTATGTGATAAAACACAGATAATTACTGAGGCCAGCGATAACAAAGCATCCTACCTAACAAGTGCTCTTCCTGATCTAGTTTACACTCCTGCTGTGTATTAATAAAACTCTCAATATACACTGGAATACCTTCAAGAGGCCATACATTCCCGGATGGTCGTGCAGTGGTAGTCGTACTCCATTCTTCAGGATGAACACACAGATTGTTACGTCACTGTTCTCGTACAACTGCATATAAGTAACAGGAGCTCCGTCCTTGCTGGCCTGTTGACAAAACAATACTGTAACTGATTTCCTTCACATTAATTGATCTACTTCTAAGAAATGCCAATCATAAACACCATGAGCTCAGGTTGGATAATTGACTGATTGATTGTACAGTCCAGTGTATTGTTCACCTGGCGTCATAACAGTTAAAAGTAACGTGAAGCAATACAGTATGTACTCATACTACAGTATGGCATAAATTTATAGCACAGATACACTTACTGGTACAGTATTTAAAACTCTACTTAAAGGAATATAAAACTCTTATTATCTATTGAGGAGACTAGTTTTAATAAGACCCCACTCTCTGGAAAAGAAACATCTGCTAGAAGATCAAGTTGGATAAATTAACTCTGGAGAAATAAAAATAAAAGACAGAAGTATGTGTGCTTCCCGTGCCTTAACTAATAGTGCTCTGGGCTTGGTTGAGTACGTGTGTCATACTGTCCAACTATAGTAGCTATATTACACTACCCAACTATAGTAGCTATAATACATCGCCCAACTATAGTAGCAATATTACATCACCTAACTGTAGTAGCTATATTACACCACTTAACTATAATAGCTATATTACACCACCTAACTATAGTAGCTATATTACAATACCCAACTATAGTAACTATACACCACCCAAGTATAGTAGCTGTATTACACCACCCAAGCGTACGAACTACTCATCCAACCATAGAAGCTATATTATACAGTGAAAACCTGAGGGATGATGTCATGTTCCTGCTGGGTACATGAATATGAAAAATGACTTGTCCGGCCCCTATTCCGGGCTGCCAGGTACTGCTAACCTGCACAGCCTGACAGTACCCCTGCTCGACCAACACTGTGCCCCTGCTCAATCAACAATGTGCCCCTGCTCAACCACATTGTGCTCCTGCTCAACCAACACGGTGCTCCTGCTCAACTAACACTGCTCCTGCTTGACCAACACTGTGTCCCTGCTCAACCAACACTGTGCTACTGCTCAACCAACACTGTACCCCTGCTCAACCAACACTGTGCCCCCCCTCAACTGGCCCACATCTCTAATTAAAATCTGAACAATAGGAAATTTTGTTTTAGGCACACAATAGCCTATTTTGTCTTTTTTTTTTCGTAGTGGATACAGGTACGGCAGCCATGTGTAAAAAATCACACTGGCTATATGTATGGCAGCAGTATTGACAGACTGTGCTGTTATTGGTCAGATTGTGCTGTAGGTTAGGTAACGTTAGGTTAGATTAGTCAGAAAGAAGGTTATCTTAATAAATATCAATGCATAGTCTGCCTACCACTTATGCACATTAGGCTACCATACCAATAGATATCAACGTTTTGCATATGGCTGCCATACCTGTATCCTGTGCCTTTTATTTTTCACTCCCTTAGATAACTTTAGCTTAAGCTGGGTCACCATATATTGGATAAATCATATAAAATAGCAGTTCCTGAAGGATTTGAAGGTATGGAATGGTCACTGTAACAGATCATGTGAAAAAATGGTATTGGATGGACATGGTGGATGAAAGGCCATTACTCAATAGAAAACCATACAAAAAGAGAGGTAATACTGGCATAGATGGCAAACACCAGAAGGAGTTGTTCGACGTCTTTTAATTTTCCCACAGATGTAGTTGAATGATATTATAGTAGCTAGGTAATAGAAATGATATGACAACTTTTTATTTTAATTACTGAATACATATTTTTTTAGTTTTTCTCTATCTACAATCATAGATCAACCGTAGTGGGTAGGGAATGAAGGATGAGGGAAATTGTGGGGTTAAACACAGTGAAAAACTGATCACATGACACTAAAATGATGTCTCTACGTGCTTTCTACACAAAAAAATTAATTATTTACTAAAAATATTCCTCCAAAAATTTTGCCACTGTTGGTGCATGTTTTCGTCTGCTCTGTTTCTTTACGTGCAAAACAACCGACCTGCTCGGTCCGAGTGTACTCTCACATCTACATAAAACGTAAAATTACACCATGTCACTTCAAAAGAGTTTCTTTCATTGGTATCAGATCTCAAAGTAAGCTCTTTCTGTTTAATATGGTGGGGGTCCGGGGGCAGAGGCCCCCAGCTAGAAAATATGGTAAGGTTAGGTATGTTTCTTTGGTTGGTTAGGTCAGGTTTTATTAGGTTCTGTGCATTGTCGTATCATTTTTATTACTTACTATTATCAAAAGATGTGCAATGTTGTACCTGTATCATTTTTATTACTTACTATGGTTAATATTCGTCCATTGGCTGTCCGCAGGTTTCCAATTTTTAAATTTTAGACACAAAGACTATAAAAAAGAAACAAAACTTAAATATAATTTTTATTGCAAATGAATATTAACGGAGTATTTCACAAATTTCGAGGCGTAAATTTCTGTACACGCCATGTTACCCGAGTCATTTCTCTCCTCCTCCCCTCACTTTTCTCGTCCACTCCTCCACCTCTTAGCGACATGGCAACCAATGACCTTCAAGTATTATATCATGTGACTTGGCTGGCCAATCATTTTGAAGCAGCCATTTTGAAGGATCGTGATGGCATGCGAAGGGTGCTCTCTCCCTTATCTAGCTGTTATTCAGCGAGTTTATCAGAACAACAGTGAGGCAATCTAAATATTATAAGATCACAGTGTCCTACCAAGACTGTCCTACATGTGGAAATTGTTTATTTTTAAGAAAAGGCAGAAATTCTTTTGTCTATCCATAAGCATACCAGATTGCCCAGCTGCATCCTCCACCAAAGTAGCAGGTAAGGTCCCCCCAAAATGGTTAGGTTAGGTTAAGTTAGGTTAAGTGAGGTTAGCTTAGGTTAGGATTTTTTTTGGGTGTTTTATGGTGCGTTTTATTTGAACCTGACCGCCATTTTGGTGTAAATTAGTGGTTTCTGTTACAAATTAAAATTTTAATTAAAAAAACCCTGCTAATTTGCACAAGAAATGAAGGTCAGATTTGAGTAAAACACACACTAATACACCAAAAAACAAACAAACTATTTTTTTTATCAAAATCTGAGGGCAGCCAATGGACGAATATTTACCCTTACTATTATCCAAAGAAAATCTGTGGAAAAAATTAATGAAATTGATCAACACATTCTGGTGTCAGCCATCTGCTCCAGAATTACCCACTAAAATGAAAAATTTTAATTCACCATTATTTGTAATTCTTATAAGCGAGGGAATAAGTTGTCTGAAATACAATATTTCTCAAAGAACATATGTGGTATACGTGCAAAAGCATCATCAAGTATTACCAAGAACTTTACCTTAACCAAAAATTTAACGTCTTATGGTAAAGTTGTAGAAAGTGATCATTAACTAAGGATGTAACAAATTTATTACTAGTGAAATATTTCTACGTGTGACAATAGAGTTAGTGTGTGTATAGTGAATATATAACAAGTTAGTGTGTGTATAGTGAATATATAACAAGTTAGTGTGTGTATAGTGAATATATAACAAGTTAGTGTGTGTATAGTGAATATATAACAAGTTAGTGTGTGTATAGTAAATATATAACAAGTTAGTGTGTGTATAGTGAATATATAACAAGTTAGTGTGTGTATAGTGAATATATAACAAGTTAGTGTTATAATATAAGGGGTTAATATCTCACAGTGAAGGCGCCGTGGTCATGCAACAGTCCGAGGTCTAAGTTAATATCCTGGGTCGTCACGGCATTTAACAGATTGTACAGTTGTTCGTAGTGGCTGGTAAATGCTCCTGCTGGTAATTTGGGGTCACGCCGGAACGTCCTCACAGCTAATCTGCCTATATTCTGGATTAAAGAAGTCATTATGGTAGTAACTCTCTCTCTCCACCTCTCACACACAATAATAAATGGGCGTTCATCTATAGCGTTAACAGGAAAAAAAAAACACCTTAATACTTACCAATTAAGGCTTTATGTTGATATTAAACCTAAAATTATTTTATTTGGATTAAAATTAATATCTGATAATTCTATGTCTCGTTTATATTGAGTTATGGTAAAATTTTATATTTGAAATTGCTATGAATGTTTGGTATCAACTGTTCGAATGCTATAGTAACAACTTCGTATACGCTATTAATGCAAAAAAATAAAACAAAATATACTTCACAACCAGTCGATATATTTGAAATTTCATAAAATACCTCCCAAAATTAATATATAATTTAAAGGCAAGTTTAACATAACGTTCATTTATTAAAAAGATTTCACCGTTTCGAAGAGTTTGTTTACTATTTGACATTAAAAACATATTATAAAATAAAAAACTAAATTTAAAACCTTATTTACAATGTATATCATATATAATTTTTTGCTATCGATATTGTGGTAATAGAACATACATAATGTTTGTTTGAGAACATATGTACAAAGTTGGCACTGGGTATGACTACGTGACTCCAACCTCACAAAGTGGTGTCAGTCAACTGGTGATAAAAGATAATTATCCAGAATTGTTTATATTGTTTATCTCGTTTTATTTACCTTGCAAACAAACAAACAAACAAACGGAAATAAAGATAAAACTGTATCAAACATAACAGATAACGATAAAATACATTTAAAATTATTTTCTTATTCGGAATATCAACACTCGAAGACGCGTGTGTTGTCTCAGGACGAGCAACCCAACCAGACTATTAACTACTGTATGGCAGTTTGTAACAGTAGTATACCTTGTGATTGTCAATAGTGGCAATATTATATTGTCATTAATTCATTATCATAAACTTTAATCATTAATAATATTATTTATGTTACTGTCAATACAGTACAGGTATTACTACTGCTACTTTTTTTTAAATGGCCTCCAGCCTCCCCCAATAGCCATTCCTTCGCCACCATTTTATTACCTTAATATTACATATCCTAATACATAAGTAGCTATCCTAACTGTGTTGGCATTCAGTGACTGTAGCCTCACAGTCAATATCTGCAACTGTTGTCGGCTTTAAGGCTGAAGCTCTCGTTCCCTGAGGCAGAGCAAAGCCTGTGGGGTATGGGATGTTTGGTTCACACTCAGGATGAGGTGGAGAAAGGAAACTCACAATGTGCTCTCTGTATACATGTTGTATTGGATGTACAATGTAGCTTGGTGCTGGGAAGGCAGCATGGTTACAAGCGTGATGTAGAGAGAGCTGGTTGGTGAGGATGCTCAGAGGAGGACCAGCTTGTGGGTCGCCATGCTCGCCGGCGGGAGCGAGGACCGCCAGGCAGGCGGAGGAGGAGGAGGTGTTGCTGGCTGGTTGGTGTAGGTAGAAAGAGCCAGGTCACCACGAGGTCAGGTCATAATTAGCGGGGGATAGGCGTGGCTTAGTAGTTGACCCCCACTCCGTGATGTATGGCGGCGCTGGTTGACCTAGACCACGAGGAACACACTGTGGAATTCGTGGGGTCGGCTACGCAGCGACAAACAGCGTTTGTAGGGGAGAAATCCACTACAAGCCGACCTAAGGAGAGAGAAGGACAGTCGACATCTCATACAGGCTGTAACATAACTTCTGGGCTGCTGTTTCTGTCGGATATCACCTCCGTGAGTTTGGCATAGAAGCTTCTTGCACTTGGTCCCATCCCACCAGAGGTTGTGAACACTATAGGAGTGAAGTTGCCTTGATCAACGTTCTGAATTCTCTCCCCTATGCCCTTATCTTGTCGTTCTCGTTTCTCCTGTGTGCAGCATAGAGAGCTAAGTTACGGTGACATGCGGCCATGGGATCAAAGATCTTGATGTCGAAGAAGGCTTGCTGTCCCCGCGTCCAGAATCCTCGAGCACTGACGTCAACACGGGCTTCGTTGGATGTGTTTGAAGTCCTATGTTGGAATATCTCACCGTCTAATGGAAGGAGGGTCGGTTCTACCCTGACATCACGGCAGATTTCATTCAACATATTTGCTGTGAGATAGATCCCTTACTTCGTCATGCCTGATGCATATGAAGCCCCCTTTCTTGCACACCATGGCGTGATCGGCGTCATAGGAAGAGCCACACACGCATTGGGAAGGCAAACCTTCCACTGGCCCACCTCCTGTGCTATAGCTACTTTTTTTTTCAAATTCTCTAGTACTTGCAACAACAGTTGCTGCAACTTATTACTTTGGCTGTGCTGTCGCTCTGTCGTAATGCACCTTAGAATCTTGTTTACTTCACTGGTATCCACCTGCCCTGTTGCGTTCTGAGCTATTATGTGGTCCGTGAGGGCTGCCGTGAGCTTAACTGAGTTTTGATGTTCGGTGGCAGCAATCTCCTCTGGATTGTCAATCCCATACCTCCCAGTCTCAGTGGTAGTGCAAGGAGTGATCTTTCTGCTGGGGTTAAGTGAGGGTGTTTCACTAATTTGGGAATGAAATTGACGCTGATAGCTTTTTCCAGTGGATGGAAGAGGGGACCAATATCAGGGATAGTGTACATCAGGTAGTTCCAGCGATGCTTGACTCCATGAGTGAATGCCGCAAAAGCTGCACGTGGCTCTGTGCTAGCAATCTCCGACAGAGCTTGGATTTCCCTAACCCGCTCATTCACCTTTCCCGTTACGTACTCGGTCGTGAAGTCAGTCGTGCCAATTACTGAGCCTAGGCGTCTTTGGCCTTCCTTTGTTATTTTGACCTCACTTCCGCCAAACACCTCCATTGCCCGTTCATAATATTCTGGCTTCACAATGAGGAAGGACTTGCTGGAGTATGGGTGGTACCCTATTTGTGGACCTCGCGATGTAACCAGGTCCCACCACTTTTTTATGTCCTCCACTTTTCCTGCTCCTGTAAGGTCATCAGCGTACGCCACTTGTTTGACCCCAGTTGTTTTAAATTTTATTGTGTGTTGGAGCACGGATAGGCCTATTGCATACATTGCCATTGCAACAGGGTCCCCCTGTGTGGTTCCCTCTGTTGACTGTATGATGGTATTGTCATGGTCACGTTGACTGCTGATCTATTTAACTCATGATTCTTATTAAACTCCACGACCGCAAAACATGAGTGAGTTAGTGACCCCTGAGACGACGTGTTTTTCCCCATAGACGCTACACTTGTGTTTCCCTCCCAGTGTCCCAAGACAGTTATCAATGCGTTGTTATTCCACTTTCTCCTGGGAAGCTCAATCTTGAATTAGTCTGTGTATATCAACTCAAGTAATTCGCCAGACCTTTGTCAACTGAGGGTCATCTTTGAAAGAGTAACAGTTAGAGTTGTTTGTAATCTCTGTCATTGCGTGAGTAGCGATCACTGGCAACTCAGGGATATATATACCCAGGGATGAGGCAGGGAGCATCCCGGAAAATCAGAAGCAATGATGGTGTAGTGGATTTCTCCCCTACAAACGCTGTTTGTCGCTGAGTAGCCGACCCCGCGAATTCCCCAGTGTATACCTTGGGGTCTAGGTCAACAGTGCCGTCTTACATGACGGAGGTCAACTACTAAGCCACGCCTACCTCCGCTATTTAAGACCTGACCTCGTGGTGACCACTCTCTTTTCTACCTACACCAACCAGCAAGCAACACCTCCTCCTCCTCCGCCGCTGCCTGGCGGCCCTCGCTCCCGCCGGCGAGCATGGCGACCCACAAGTTGTCCTCCTCTGAGCATCCTCACCAACCAGCTCTCTCTACATCACGCTTGTAACCACGCTGCCACTTCCCAGCACCAAGCTGCATTGTACATCCAATACAACATGTATACAGAGAGCACATTGTGAGTTTCCTTTCTCCATCCCATCCTGAGTGCGAACCCCAAACAACTCGTTCCCCACAAATGGTGACCCCCGGAGATTCGCACTCACACAGGATGGAGGAGAAACCGATCACTCTCCCAGTCTTCAAGCAACATGGAAGACTGGCTTACCCACGCAGAGGCAGCTCTCATCGGCTCTACAGCTACTGTCTCTACACCGCAGTACCTCCGCTATTTAAGACCTGACCTCGTGGTGACTCTCTCTTCTTCTAGCATAGCCTGCAGCAGCACCACCTCCTCCGCCGCTGCCTGGCGGCCCTCGCTCCCGCCGGCGAGTATGGCGACCCCACAAGTTCTCCTCCTCTGAGCATCCTCACCAACCAGCTCTCTCTACATCACGCTTGTAACCACGCTGCCACTTCCCAGCACCAAGCTGCATTGTACATCCAGGGGTTGTTGCAATGAGTCAGGGGTTGTTGTAAGGTGTCAGGGGTTATTGTAATGAGTCAGGGGTTGTTGTAATGAGTCAGAGGTTGTTGTATTGAGTCAGAGGTTGTTGTAATGAGTCAGGGGTTCTTGTGATGAGTCAGGGGTTGTTGTAATGTGTCAGGGGTTGTTGTAATGAGTCAGGGGTTCTTGCAATGAGTCAGGAGTTGTTGTAATGAGTCAGGGGTTGTTGCAATGAGTCAGGAGTTGTTGTAATGAGTCAGGGGTTGACGTGCACGTAATTCCTCCTAGAAAATAGTAAGTGCAGCCCTGAATTATATTTTTTATTATACATTATTTTGTGTGAAACATTTGATTTGTAGCGATTTACACGTCATGCACACTCATCATTTTTCTTTACGGTTGAAAAAGTTCTGGCTAGTTGCCGCAAGAGGTACTAGTTCACTCACACATATTATTATCCTCCAAGTTTTACGCAATGTACAAAACACTTTATTTCCTTCTTTAACAGCAGATTATAACCAATATCTTCGTTTATTTCTCGATTTACAACTTATAAATATAATAATCATCTTCAGTTCATTAATTCCAGTTATAGTAGAGGAACAACCTTTAGCCACTACCATCAAGCACAACAAACACTTTCAATTGCTTCTCTTCTGGATCTCCCCGACATAGTGTATAATATAGTAGTTTAAATCTTCCAAATAAGTTTCAACAAGTCAAACTTGTGAGGATACATTCGGGTGACATTTTCTATGCCGTACTGGATGTATCCGGCCTTCTGGTAGCACTTGAGAGCGCCTCGGTTGTTGGGGGGAGTTCGTAGCATGACAGCAGTGTAGTCAAGCCGGCCTGCCTCCCTGTGACACGCCTGAATAAGTCTGTTCATGGAAGACACAATTATCGCCTTAGTAGCCGATTGCAGTATGCATCCTATTTGGTTATTAGCTTCCATTCAATTTGCCAAATAAATCGTAATTCCCTCATATCTGATGTTGGACAATGGTGGTAATGTGATGCCTTGGGGGTATGGGAAGGGTAAGGTTCACCAAGTGAGGTGAAAGTCGAGCGGTTGTAAATTTGTGTAATAATAGCGAGATGGTGATAGTTAATCATCCAACAAGATGAAGTGGATATCAGAAACAGATTTATGTATAACGAAGAGAGATTGTATTGATGTCATTTAGGAAACAGATGTGTGTCAAAACGTTCAAAGTTCCCATCATACAACTTTTTTTGCATAACCGTCGACCTCCAAGATCACAGTAACATATTCGCCTCAATTCTGAAAGAGAGAATGTCTAATATGGAATAATCGCATTTGCGGCCTGTTAAACGTTAAGCCTTAGTGAAAAGTCCTTGCTTCAACATGTTCAATGAATTCCAAGCCAAGGTAGCAGCAGAAAAAAACCTGGCGACGTGGATCCCCTGTGCAGGGTACTCACTAAACTTTATTGGAGTGGCAGCTGCTGAATGCTGCCCAGTTGCTGTAAGTTTCTTTGACTTTCTGGAGGGGATTTATGTGTTTTTCACTGGACGTCACTTCGTTATAAAATACTGATACACTCGCTCAAAACAGCTGACAGTAAGGTGTGCGTACCTAAAACGACCAATACCACGCGCTGGTCGTACAAAGCTAACGCCAGTAGAGCACTTATACAGTACAAGGCTATCCTCAAACCAGAGACGCCTTAGCCAAAATTGCTAATGACCCAAATGAAATAGCTGAAGTACGTTGCCAGTCAAACGGCTTGTATAAGCTCATGTGTATGCTTGAGGCGGGAATATGTTCAGACTTCTGGCACGACATTCAAGACAAGGTTAATGGTACAAATAAGAAGTTAGCTGCTACAGGATTCCAAACTTAAGCTGAACACTGCGGGGGTAACTATTAAGTCGCTGAAAAATTTTGCCGAGACGAAACTTGAGTGTTTCTTTAAGTATGAGAAGCAGGGAATAGAGATAACTGGCACAGCAACATAATGTGTAGATTCACCATCGTCAACGAAAGATTAATGCTCGGCTAAATCCACTGGGGTTTCGTGTTGAGAATTACATTCCGGTTATCGATCAATTTCTCAGCTCTGGCACAACGACTCTCTGCTTATGAGTTAATCTGCTCTCATTTCAGCTTTATACGTCAACTTAAAATCCTTAATCCAGACGAGATCCAGGATGCAGCGACGAAGCGTGTTAACAGCTACAAAGATGACATTGATCAATGCCTTGGTAAAGAGCTTGTCCAGTTTGCTGAATTCTTCAGGATGTTCAAAGACGAGGAAAGGATTGAAATAGGCAGAGAACACTCCCTGTATAAGCTGATACGTGATAATGGTGTTAAGAGTGTATTTCCTAATGTGGAAACAACACTTCGTATGTATCTTGTGCTGATGGTCACCAAGTGCAGTGGTGAACGTTTGATTTAAAAAATGGAGGATATCATGAATAAGCTATCTAGCATTAATGACTATACATGACACTTTGCGAGAGGTAGAGGTCAGTCAACGCGTTGATGACTTTGCAAGTAGGAAGGATCGTAAGGTGCCATCAGTGCCATGCAAGTAGTGGCAGCCTAAGAAGTAAGCTATATGTTAAGTTTAGTATGTGTACTGTATATATTTTTATTTTTATTTGTTGTGCAGAAAGAAGGAAATAAAAGCAAACTTCCTAATATAAATGGTCCTTTCCATATAAATAGGAAAAGGTGAGGGCGAAAAATCATGAATGTAAATTGTTGTTGCTTTTGTCATGTCTTGACAGTCCTATATGTCATGCCATAAACCCTTAGTAAAATTATAGGAATAAAATTACATGTGTTTATTCTTCTACACTTGGGTGAACAAAACCGTTATGTAATTTCGTTTGGTTTGATAATACTGTAATAAAAGAAAGAGGATGGCAGGGGTCTCCGCCAGTTGTTTGCCCAGGGCGCCCAAAACTCTGAATCCGACCTTACCCCATACTGCCATGTACAGGATCCCAACAACACGATGTTGCTTCGTATACTCGGCAGCCTACCGGTCACCGCCTGCATTGCAGAGCGAGTATTCAGTGAAGTGAAGCGCTTACACTTATCTTCGCTGCAGATGGCCACAAAACGACTGACTGGTTTGGCTCTAATGTTTATCCACCGTGACATAGCTATGGGTGTGGAGACTATTATCATTACGTTTGCAAGACGCCACAGAAGACGAATGAACATGATCAACGTCTTGGATGACTGACTCCCGAGTACTATTCATTTCCTAGTAAGCTCAGGACAGTGACATTGTATGTCGCAATAAGATTGATATAACATTACTCTACATGATCATGAGGTGTAAAGTTACATACAATAAAAATATGCCAATTCATGATGCTGAGGTATATATATATTGTTTCAATCACAACCATTCATATACCACAACCTGGGCACAGGGTTCACAGTTTAGAAATCAAGGCGGGGGGTGGGGTTACAGACACCTTAAAGAACCCTAGATACAGCCCTGTAATTGTCTTGTTTAAAGCAGGTGACAATGGACTATGGAAGCTATAGGGCCATTACTATAATGGACACCTTGGCCAAAATGATGATTTGTTCCTTTTAAATAGCTTCGTTTGTGGGTCAATTTGGTCAAAGGTTAGGTAGGAGCCCAACATGTAAGAGGATGTGTGACTACTACTGTATTTTCAAAAATAATTAAAATATCTGTAGACAAGCTGTTTACTGTTTGTAATATACAGTACTTTAACAAAATGATATAGATGATTAAGCAAGCAATTAATACAGACGAATATCTTGGCAGCGTACACGGTTTATTGTTGATGGACGACCTGGGATGGTGAATAATTAGATTTTATATAAGTAGTTAAGAGACGGATTAGATACTAGCGATATCACTGATAGTGGGAAAATAAACACTGCTGAGATTACCCCGGTACATGAGACTGGTAGCGAAATGATTGTGGATAAGTTTTCTGTTTTTGCTTGCTTTTGGCAGCAATTACGGGAATACCCTTTGTATATAAATGTCAGGTGTTTAACGCTGCACTGACATCATCCTTGTTATGCAGCTCCAAACTTGGCTAACAGAGCAACAGCCAACCTAACAAGTGTAATTACTCAGTACAATAATATAGTTAAATGTCTGCTTGGTGTCAGAAAGAGCACAGGCATTAACCTGAGCCTTAATTGATGAGGAATTCCCCAGTTATAGTGAGGAGAAGGTAGAGGTTCTTTGACTCGAAGCTTCGTGCGTCAGATACAGAGGAACCATTCCGTGTTGTTTATGAACTACTGTAGAAGAGAGAACACACAAGGCTATAGGTTCTTGAGAAAATCCCTACAGTTAGATTGTAATATTAAGACCCTACAGAAAATAGTGAATATAGCCAGGAATAAGCAAGCTGGTCCAACAAAACACGTGACGCACACCAGGGTAGAACTGAACCTCCTTGTGATACATAATATCTACTTGAGCAGACAGTTTATCCCCGACTACACCCGTCAGGCATTTACACCACTACGATTAATGTCACATAACTTAAAAATAGAGAGAGGCAGGTGGAGTCAGATGCTGCTGAGTAAAGTTATGCTTATCTAAGAGAAATCAAGTGTAAGCTGAACTGAAGGTCTTATTGGAGTGCTCTGTCACGGCTCATTGTCGTAGCAGATATAATATGTTCGACTTTGCTCATAAAAATGAACTTCCAGGAGGAACATATCATGTAACAGAAAGCTGTAAATATATTTAAGATGTTCTGCATTCATATAAATAGTGTAAATACATGGATGAAATAGAATTTACAGGAAACTTTTAACTTAAGGTGCCCCACTATGGGAAATTAAAATACTGTAAGCCTAATTATATTTTTATTGGCCATATTGAAAAGTGATACTTTGTAATTTTTAACATATATCTACGAATTTTGTCAATAGAATAACTAACTAACTAACAAATTATAACCTAGTCACTGACCTTAAAGCAATGCCCCTCCTCCTGAACTTTAGGTGGACAACCAACCTACTCAATTCGGCCATATTGGGGTCATCAGTTTCACGAACAGCGACAGTGCCAGCCACCTCCCCTTCCACCACAGCCACCAAAAACGACCTGACCAAGAAAGATACAGCGTCAACCACATTCCTGGAGGATTAAAGATGAGGTGTATGGAGCGTATTCATTCATGACCCCTACAACCCTTCCCTGTCCATACTCTGACATCTTGGAGCCACCCCTGTCCTTCGTACTCTGACATTCTGGAGCCACCCAACCCCTCTCCCGTTGCCCTGAGTAATTCTTACATTTACAGTTGGGATGTAAATAAGGTTTTGGGTTACGGGTACAGCTCCACAGCCTATTAGAACATCTGACACTGGACCAAGATTCTCAAAAACTTGTGTGAAATTTTCTCGCCTAACTCACTTTAACGACACAAATACAGCAGCTACATTAAGGAAGAAATTATAGTAAGTCTGCAGTAACTCGATGTTTCCCAGTTTAGGGTCTGAGTAACAAACAAAACTTTAAGAATCTTGGCGCTGAACCTGCATCATGATGAAGCTAAATTAGTCTTGCTTATGGGAAGAGATAAAAGCAGATGATCAATTTACCTTCGAGTGTGAGAGTAGTAGTGCACCAGGTTAAGTATGTCAGGTTCCTTTGCACCGTAACCATCCCTGAAGTTCCTCCAGAAGAGCAAGAAGCGAAAACCCTCCACCACCACCACCAGCCCAGTGCCACTTACCAAACACGCTCCCACACCCATCTGCATAGGAATCAAATAGTATTTCAGGGAATATAAATTAAATGGCTGTTCAATCAATCAATCAGAGTACCGTCCACATATCTGAGGGATGGTGACCACAGTCCTCAACTCTTAACGTTCTCGGGCTGTTTTTACCAATTCTCCAAGATTGTGCATCCCTCTGGGGACCCAGTTTTAATTTCACTCATCCACCCTAGTCTCTGCCATCCCTTGTTTGTAATACCCTTGTCCCTAATTATATGACCAAATTATCTCATTATTTTTTATATAAATTCTTAAATATTTCTCAGACCCCCTGGCATAACTCGTCTAATGGCCCCTACACCCCATTCCCCCTTCATACCCTGACATCCTGTTTTCCTGACAGTGTAACTTATTTCAAAGACCTCCGACCTCTTTCTGGTGTCTGCTGAAAGTGTCCACGTACATGACCCATACAAAAGTCCTTGCATATAAATCCTTTCAGCAGCCTTTTTCTCAAATTGAAGTTAATGTCCCTTTACATTAAAGTCTTTTAGATTATTAAATGCTGTTTTTGCTTGCCCTATTCTTGTTTTGATTAATTTTGTACATCGACCATCACAGCTAATGTTACTTCCCAATTACACGTTTTCCACTTGCCTACCATGATTTTGATTTTAGGGTTTATTTCTATTTCGAAAACAACCGTTACTTTCGTGTTTCCAGCATTAACTCTTAACCCATATTCTTCACCTTTTTCCACTAACCTATTAACTATTTTTGTAATTCCTCTTCACTATCTGTGATAACAGCAATATCATCTGCTCATTAAGAATTCTGAATATATTGTATATTATACAATGTTGGAGATAGAACACAGCCTTGTCTTACTCCCTGCGTCTGATTGTGAACCAATTAGTAAGTTCATTATTTACTAACTCTGCAGCCTTCTGTTTTCAGTGAAGATTTATTAGAATTCTAAAAAATCTTTAATACTTACAGGGATTTTTTTCCAAGACGTCTATAAGTGTATTGTGGTTTACCTTTTGAAAAGCGTTTTCAAATTTAATAAAATACATATACAGTACAAATTTCTTTCGATCTCAAAACCCGTTTTACTAACAATTCTAAAAGCAAATATAGCTTCTCTAGTTCCCTTTCTTTTTCTAAATCCATTTTAATCTTCAGATAACTCACTGTCTATTCCAATATGTATTATACTTATATTATGTATAATAAAACTTTGCAGGCATGACTTATTAAACTTATTGTTCTAAACTGGGTGTACTCTAAGGCTCCTGGTCTTGTAGGTAATAATACAAATATTGATATTTTTTTTTCTAATCACTGGGAAGGTCTCCTGTAAAGTATACCATTTAGAATTACATATTTTCGTCAAACATTTTATCCCATTCTTGCCCATTTGTTTTATAAATTCTGCTGGAAACTGATCAATCCCACAAGCTTTATCATTTTTCATTTTATTCACAGCTGCCTTAACTTCTGTTTCCAGAATTGGTAGTTTGATTTTTATTTCATTTTCGTTTCTTTCCTCTACTCCATCTTATGGCTGCTAAGGGTACCAAGCATAAGAGTTAGTGCCTCAATATAAAAATGAATATGAATGAATCTTAAAGCTATTTAGCCCCAAAATTTTAATTTAGTACTGTAAACGATCTGCTTCTTCCTTACAATACTACAGTTGTATCTTTTGGAATTATTTATATCTATGTTTCACACATGCACAAATTATCAAATTATCCCTCCAGTGACTTTTGGCAATTAATTTTAAAATGGTACTCATCTTGGTATCTTCCCTCCCCTCAGATCTAAAAGTCATGACTTATAAACTAACTTGTCTCTCTGCAGGTCTAGTGAGGGCCATCCTCCATGGGTCCAGTGTTACCACGGGAGTAAAGCAGAGTAGTAGGAGAAAACCTGGCATGTTTTTTGGAGTCACGCTGGACTACACCCTTATCTAATTTGACTCAATCGGGATTTTAACCCGAGTCACAGCGATGAGAGACAAGTGCACTACCGTTTTGCTGCCGATGCTTTTTTTTCTAATCTTTATCTTTAATTCATGGTAAACAACGCTAGTATCAACCGTGTTAGCGACAGATGATCCTCACAGTGACTTACAGGCCCTTACTGTTCAGCAACATCGAGCATGACGAGTCCAAGAATGGCTATACAGTACAGCATATTAAATTAAATTTAGATAAAGTATCATGCATAATCTTTCAATGCGCCTAAATGCATTACATTTTAGCCTCAAAAAACGTGTTTTAGTACAGATGTAAAATAAAATCTAACCTGTAGAAAGTAATATAGGAGAAGAGGGGTGAGGAAGACGAGCATAAAAAAGTAGGGGTGATGGATGAAGAGGAAGAGTTGGCTGATTATCTCCTCCTTTTCCAATTTCCACATCACCTCCCGACGCCCCGCGAGCACCGCCTCAACGTCGCCAGGCCTCATTGCTCGTATTACTACCTTCTCCTCCTCCCTTGACATGACCACTTCTTCTTGTATCCTGCCAACATTTTAGTAACATTTTATTCTCACGAAAACCTGAAAATTTTATATGCCTTGTTCACATCTGCTTGAGGGATATACTGCCAGAGGTGCATATACCCCAACCTTAGTTTAGCGGTTACAACATCTTGTAATCTAGTGATCTGGTACTTGTGTGTGTGTGGGAGGGGGGGGGGGGAAGAGGGATCCCGATACAATACATCTGTTTAGTGCTACCCCATTTGGAGTAATGTCACCCTATTTGGTTCCCAACCCCGAGAAATGCTAGAGACTGTCAGTTGATTGAAAATTTCTAAGGCAGAGTCATCAGGCTGGTACCGCACTACGGCACCTCAGTTACCCAGAGAGATTAGAACGCCTGCAAATGTCCAGCTTATACTATAGGCAGTGCCGGATTTAGACCTGTGGAGGCCCATGGGCAGCCTCTTTGTGGAGGCCCCCTCATTATAACTACCCAAGAGGGTGGGGTGGCGAGTGAAGCGAGCCTAAACATCTGGGAGTTCCAGGGAGCGCTGTAAGCCCCCCGGGAAAATTTTGAAATTTGAATACTTCTTTGGAGAATTTTGAAGCCATATGCAGTTATATTGAGGAAATTAGAACAATAATGAATTTCAAGGAATAGATAGCCTAATTTCTATCACGCTTCTTGCTGAACATAGTTTTACGTGATGGAATAGATAAACATGAATTTTAAAGAATGAAAATAAAATTATCCAAATGAATAAACAAGTAAATAAAATATTGTAATATGTGGAGGCCCCACTTTGCCCACTCCTGAATCCGGCCCTGACTATAGGCAGGCAAGGGGTGACTTATGGAAGTTTATAAACATCTCAGAGGACAATACTCAACATTTTCTTTTCTTTTTCAACAAAGCAATTTTTCCTACAGTGCAATTGACATTTATGGTATTTCAAGCCTACCTATGAAGTATAAGCAAAATCATGTAAGGAATCACAAGAGCAATGAAGAATATGAAAAACAACAAGCAAATGCATGTTTTGGCGAACTTTCCTGTGGTACTGACAAAATATATTTAAGGTAAATAATAAGGCTGTTAAAATTTTTAAGAAAATAAAAGACGACTAAAAACAGATTTTATCCCTATTGTTTACTCGTTATTTCATTCTGAGTCAACTATCGTCTCAAAATAATTACTTTTGTAAGATTTTATTTACTGAATGTTTAGTTCGGGTCTTGAGAGAATTTATGGTGTTGTTAGTCTTTATGTCCAATGCATATTGTAATTTCACACAAATTTGTAAAATAAACAAGTACATCGCAGAAATCCCACCAGACGGAAATAACTCTGGAACATTTATCTTCCACAGTAGAAATTATCTATTTATAATGTTAACGCTCATAGGAGCGTTATTGGTTTGTTGCTGGAGAAATAAACCCTCAACGTTGACGCGTACCATATAATTCGGTCAAATCCTGTTAAAGAACAATTCTCATATAACAAATGCTGTTATCTCAGGACACATATTATGAAATACAATCAATATATAGTACATAGCCTGTTAACATCTTAAATATAACTCACATGTTATAACTATTGAGACAGGAGACAATTTGTATAATATGATCAAATTATAGTACATAAATATACTTATTAAAGTTATTTAGAGTTTTTTAGCAGATTCTAATACTTCACGATCACTCACGTTTTAGGGTCTAGTGGTCTGAACCAACGTGTTGTCTGTCCTGTAGAAATCGGTAGACTACCCTCGAGGGCAATCGCAGCCCGGAGGCGAAGGCCATCTGCTTGTATTGAAACACCTCAGCCAATTCGTTGTCAACACTATATCTCTTATCTCACCCTCTCTCTCTCTCGCCTAGTTTATCTTATTGTGGTTATCCCTCTCTTTCTCTCTCTCTTCTAGTTTATCTTACTATGGCGGTAACATATAATAATATATAAAATGCCCATATAAATTGATCCAACGCCAAATTTTCCTCAAAATAAAATGTTGTTATCAAGAAGTTCATGATATACACAGTATATAGCACTCACCACTGGATACTGCAGCAAATAAATGAGTTGCTTTGGAGAGATGGAGGAAGAGGGTGAGGGAATTACACCTAGTACTGTTGTTGTGCTGAATGAAATTTAGAAGTTGTAGTTTGTTATTGCCATCAGTATCATTATTAGTGCGATAAAAATTAAGATTTCAATTATTTATGTAATTCAGAACTAGATAAGGATGAGGTCAAGATAACGGGAAGATACAAAGGATAAAACACGTTCACTTACCACTATAAATACATCTATCTTATACAAGCCATTAAATTAACATTTTATAATTTTGTATCATTACATCAGATATATCGCAGTATCTTGGTTGTTATATTGTTCAACACATCTCCCTTAGTTCACAATGAGATGTACACATCATTAATATTGGGTGATTTATGTCTCTACCACAGACTTGAGAGTGTTGGGGTGCAGTGTGTGCTGTTGCAGACATAGTGCTATACTGTAGATCAATTATTGATATACTGTCATCTTTGTTGTTTATATATTTCAATGTGTCAAAAGTACTTTAAGGTAAAGTAGACTACCAAGCATATTATGGAAACACTGGATGTCTGACCACTAATTATCAACCAACACAGACAAACACTTTGACCTTATTATCATAACACAATGAAAATAGTAAATGTTACATTTCATAAATATCTGCAGTAATATATAAACAATAATTACATAAACAAATAAATCATCCATGTGATAAGTGCTCTTCAGCAGTGATGTGTGGCCACACAAAACAAGTAATTTCACTGTCCTTGCCCATTCATTCAGCCCTGACTATGGCACTGCATTACCACATCTCGTACCCGAGCCCTCACACACTCCCAGGCTGTGGTACGTTCATGTGGAGGCAACTGTACATACAGGGGTCAGCCTTTATTTTACACCTTGACTGATCATCTATTAATTGCCTGTTCTGGTTTGTGTGTTTCTGGAGGTGGGGTGGGAGAAGGATGCACCCAGCGAAGTTGCCGGTTAAGAATTTCGAGGCCGCCATGCAGTCTGTGTGGCTTATAAGAGGCGTGGACTATATTAGACCAGAGTTCCTCAACTCAAGTTACCGGGTGACATTGTATTGCAGTGTTGTATGTGATATTTTAATATACTGTATGTGAGCTTTAAGATTAGGATTAAGTTGTTCTTTTATTAGTATTTGTTTTTTGTCCACTTATTACTCTTTTCATTACCTTAAATGCATACACTTATCACCACCAGAATCATTATCATAAAGTTATCCTGAAGTCACAAGATGAGTCTAATTTACCTGAACAGTAGATTCATTCAAGTTCACTAGAAATCCAAACCATGACACACACACATCCTTGACTACCGAAGGGTTCAAGATAAGGCCAGGCCAAGGTGCAAATATTGCAGGGGAAATTACAACGGGATGAGGGAAGAGATGAGGGGTATCCACTGGCCTGACTTATTAAGGCACAAGAACGCAGACACTATGCTGAATATCATAACTAGTAAAGTGACTCATTTGATCGATAAATATATACCCAAGACCAAACCCAGTGCCTTTAGGAATACGAGGGGATCCCTACACATGAACCATGCGGCGGTCGACAAAGTTAAGAAGAAAACCCAGAAATTCAAAATGTGGGTTGGGTCAATGATGAGCAGGATAGGAGGATGTATGCAAGAGCCAGAAACCAAGCAAAGATAGAGTGTAAAAGTGCTGAAAAGGAGTTCCAGAGGCTGGTTGCAAGAGAGGTCAAGTCAAACCCAAAGGCGTTTTACCGCTATGCAAAGTCGAAATTAAAAACGCGAGTAGGAGTATCAGACCTGAGTCTTGAAGATGGTAATTACGCAGATTCTGACCAAGATAAAGCTGAGGCATTGAACTGCTTCTTTTCCTCGGTGTTCACAAGAGAGGATGCGATTAACCTTCCTGCGTTTGAGGACATACGGTTCGACACAGCACTGACCCACATTGTGTTCACAGAAGAGGGTATGAGAAATAAACTGTCCAGGCTAAAGGTCCATAAGAGTCCCGGTGTAACGGGCCGAATTTTCTCTTCTCATAATTTACCCTTCAGATATTCTTTTCTGTTATGATTCTTCAATTCTTTAGTTATAACTTCAGATATTCTTTTCTGTTATAATTCTTCAATTCTTTAGTAATAACTTCAGATATTCTTTTCTGTTATGATTCTTCAATTCTTTAGTTATAAGTATACTTTAGATTCTTATACAAGTAATTCTCTTCTCAGTTATGTATGTTCTTTATCGTAAACTTTCATGATATATATATATTTAATAATTTCTATGCTGTGTCATTAGTTCCACAATGTACATACATGTCTTTTCTTGTACTTTCCAAGTCTTTCATTTCATTCATATATATTATATTCTCAGTTTCAATGTTCTTACCTTTCGGAAGTATACTTTGTTTTATGTCTATTCTTATACATGGGTTAGTCTGGGGAACCATGTTACTCTTAGTACAACTCTTTTTATACTTACACAGGGTAGCTGCCACCACCCAGACTTTTCATTATATAACATAACTCATGGAAGGGTTTTGGGTAGTGTGGTAGATGTATAGGCACGTGAGTAAGTATTATTTTCTGGGAACCAATGTTTAGAAGGAGTAGAGTGGTGATACTCGTAGATTACTAATTCAATATTTATTAACACAGTGAGTGGAGAAGATGCATCTTAGATTCACTCAGGCTAAACAGAATCGCAATTAACTTATTAAGTCATCAAACACTTCAAGAACTTATTACCTCATTAACCACCTCCAAATACTTATTATACCATTAAACAACTCCAAGTACTTATACCATTCAACAACTATTACTCATTACTTCATTCGACAACTATTGTATTATTTCTTTGACAAGTAAGATTTAGAAATGACTTCACACTGTCACTAACACTGGACCCGCAGGTCTTACTTTAACAAGTAACAAATTTCCTCTTCACTTCTTGATCAGAACATTATACCCTCAGGTTATTCTTTCATGGTTACTACAGATGAATATATAACACTCGGGACAACTCCACAATTATAGCAACATACAATATTTCTTATCAGTTCACAAGGAACCACCTGGTACCTTGAACTCTCATTCAGTGGTTCAATACTTAACCTGGGATGACTATATTTCTGCTAGTCATCCCTAAGCATGGATATTAATACGGCTCCATACATATAACCAAGAACAGTAGATAGACCATGATCATATGGCGGAGTCAGTGGGACAGAGTTGTTTACAGGCTCGTCGCTAGCTCGGAGTGCCTGGCCCGGGAAAGGTTGACGAGTGGCGGTGGGCTTTTATTTTGTACCGATTGAAGTTTCTTGATTCTCGTTGCGCTAAATGAGTTGGTTGGTACAGGCGGGTAGCACATTACTGTTTTTATTTGTGCCCTGTATAATTTCCTTTTGTTTGGTATGTTCAGTTTTTTAAATCTTCTTATTTCTGAGAGTTTGCTACGTAGTTTGTGGACTTTTTCGTTGATGAAGCTCTGGTAGCCATTTGTTGAGAGTTTCAGTCCCAGGATGCTGCCTTCGTTGGTGTATGGGTAAATTTCTCCATCTACTATTACTGGTTCGACCTTTTTCTTGGCAATTGGTATGATTTTAAATTTGTTGATGTTTGTCCGTATTTTCCACTTCTTTTCGTAGTCATTTATGTTTTTTATTGCTAAGGCCGTATGGCGTGCCATTGTGGTGTACGAGTTGTTTGGGGTTACTCATTACAACAACCCCTGACTCATTACAACAACTCCTGACTCATTACAGCAGCCCCTGACTCATTACAACAGCCTCTGACTCATTGCAACAACCCCTGACTCATTAAAACAACCCCTGACTCATCACAACAGCCCCTGACTCATTACAACAACCCCTGACTCATCACAACAACTCCCTGACTCATCACAACAACCCCTGACTCATCACAACAACCCCTGACTCATCACAACAACCCCTGACTCATCACAACAACCCCTGACTCATCACAACAACCCCTGACTCATCACAACAGCCCCTGACTCATTACAACAACCCCTGACTCATCACAACAACCCCTGACTCATCACAACAACCCCTGACTCATCACAACAACCCCTGACTCATCACAACAACTCCTGGGAAAATATAAACCATTGACATTATCCAAAACGATAATTTATAAGTAAACTTGTGATATACTCAGCTGATTTAGAGTCTTAATGATGTTCACAGTGATCACCTGGTAGTGCAGCACCATGTTGTCGTCTTGGTCATAACCAGAAGGTATAAAAATAATGCCAAGAAAAATCATTGTTTTCATTAATTTTCCAACAATGTAAACATAATGTATTATAATGTACAATAAGAAGTCAGGGGTGGCCTTAGTGATTTGGGGGCCCCTTGCAAAATACCATATGGGGTCACTATACTGCCTCTACTGGGAGTTCAAAAAAAGTAGTTTCCATATCTTCGCAGTAAGAAAAACAACCAATATTTCCCGTGCCTTTGCCAAATATTTATTTCATAAACTCATATAAAAAGTGTAAGTTGAGTTACAGAAGGGCTATTTGTAAAAAAAGAAAGTTTGAACAAAAGTTAAAACCAAACTCTCTTGGGAAAGCTCCCCTTAATTAAGGGCGGGTGGACCGGTGAAGTAAGATATTGCTTGAGGAGATCCCCAATCATCTCAGATATAATTACTTGTCTCTACAAAATGATAAGGAAATTAACAAGGCGGTTTGAATTTATTAAAAAAAACATTTCATAAAAATCATGCACACTGTAAAGAGGGAAACAATATTGTGA